ATATGTAGAGAGAGTTGTAAAACTTGTCAAGAAAAGAAATACAAACTGATTAATATATAGTCTATACAGTCAGAGCCAATATTTTTTTCCAATATTGGGGATTGAACCCAGGGCCTCACACTGAGCTCCATCCCCAGTTGTTTTTCTTCTTCTTTTTTTAATTTTTGGTAGCAGGAATTGAACTCAGGAACTTGCACTTGCGAGGCAGGCACAGTGCCACTGAGCTAAATCCCTGGGCCCCCAGTTGTTTTCATTTTGAGATAGGATCTCGCTCAGTTGCCCAGGCTGGGCTCGAACATGCAATCCTCCTACCTCAGCTTCCCAGATTGCTGGAATTACAAGTGTGTGCCACTGTGCCCAGCAAGAAAAATAGTTAACTTTGAGAAGGAATGTAAAGGAAATAATCAGAAAGGGACACATGGAGCTTGACAAGTACTGGGAATAGTCCTATTTCCTAAGTGGGTGGTGGCTAAGTGCTGTCTTTTCATTACTTTTCTTTACATAGTGCTTGTATATGTTGTGTATTGTATGATATTGAACAATAATTTTAAAATCCTTAGTTACTCTTAAAAGCAAGTAATATTTGGTAATTAAGTGGTTTGGCACCATTCAGTACTCAGTGATTTTGTCTATTTGAGTATGTTGTTAAGTTCATTTTTTAAAGCTGCAGGAGTTTTTTTACAGCTAAGCCCCAGAATTTATAGGAGATTTTATTGTGTCTGAGTGCAAATCATTTCAAGTGAGAATTGACCCCATGAGCAGCGCTGAGAGGACAGCCCATTCGAAGCTATATAGAAGGGGAGAGATTGTGAATGGGTCATGTGGTATTTGTGCACTTTCAGTAATCTCAATCTTTATACTCACAGATAGTTCTTCAGACACTTCTGGCCTTTGCAGTTACCTGTTATGGTATAGTTCATATTGCAGGGGAGTTTAAAGACATGGATGCTACTTCAGAACTGAAGAATAAGTAAGTCTTTCCCTTTTCAGAGGCATTTAATTGCATAGGGATTTGCTTTATTTATATAATCTCCAATGTATGTATTCTGGTATACAAAAATAATTTTTTATATTGTGATTAATCATTTTATATGGATAACGAGGTAAAAATATCAAGGCAGTGTTTGATATGATAGGAAAAATGCAAATTAAATGTCTGACTATTGATACTAGAATAAGGTATTAGTTTGTGGTATTTGCAAGTTGCTTAAAATTACTGTTTGGCTGGATAGATGGAGTTAGATAAAGATAATTTCTCAGAAGTTTTAACAAAGCTCCCTCTCTCCTTCGCCCTTCTTTCTTCCCTCTTCTCTTATTTGTCTCTCTTCTGCTTTTCTTCCCTTTTTCTCTTTCATGCATTCATACCAACTTAATCTTTGGAAGAATAAAGCATTTTCTGTTTTCTCTCTCACTTGAAACTGATTTGTGGCATAAGTTTTGCCTGTAAGCCCTTTCGTATCCTGGGTTAAAGAGTATTATTCTGTTTTCTTTTTTCTCCTATACATCAAAGTTGTTCTCATGGGCTTTGTTTGCTTTTCTTTCTCACATTTTGCTTTACGTTGGTTTAATTTCATCTTTAGACTTCATCTGTCTTCCCAATCCTGAAAATACAAGCCTATATATTTTCTTTCCTCCCTACCCCAAGTATCGGGGATTGAACTCAGGGCTTGTGCTTTCAAGATAGGTGCTGGGCCATTTATCTAAATCCCCGCCCCCTATATATTTTCTTAGTAATCATTTATGTGGTAGAGGGAGCTCATCCCAGCCTTCACTTTTACTTCATTATGTACATTTTAAATAGTCACATATTATACCTCTCGCTTTGTATGAGTGTGTGCTTGGATGTTTAGGGGAACTGACATTGAGATTTGAGTTTTTATGAAAGGAAAAATTCTCTTGTTCTTTTCGGGAAAATAATATATAAAAGTGAATGCTAAGGCCATATACCAAGGTGTTTGCGAACTTACTTTAGACTATATCACTCTCACTGGAAAAGAAGAAAGGCTATTCTACTATCACTGTTGCTCTTACAAACAGTCTACCAAGAATGACAGGCAAGGAGCCAGGAAAGAACAAAGTAAAATAGAACAACATCAGGTAGGTTGTAGCAAAAGATAACCATTTGGCCAACAGGATGTATGGAGAGCCAACAGGAATTTTTTGTTGTACTTGAAAGAGTTTTTAGAAAACAGATCTGTGAAGTGGTCATATGACTTGAATAGTGAGGGACAAATGAGAATAATCAAAGGTACAATGTATGTCCTGGTTTTTAAAAGGCTTTGGCATAAGTTACTGTTAGATTTCACAGGTGATTCAAGTTGAGTGAGTATTTGTGTTACTATTTATAAGCATCCAGAAAGGGGTAGCTGAATAACAAAAATTTGAGACCTTTATGCTAGTCTTCCAGGTTTCTAATTTTCTTTGTATAGTAAAAAAAAAGAGAGAGATACAATATGATTATCATTTATAGTCTGATTTCATAACTTATTTAAAAATATAACCCATATGAAATTCATAATTCATTAGAAGGCTGCATATTTTCAAGTAGGCTTTTATAAAGATTTATCTAAAATCAATGCTTTTTTTTTTCTTTTAAGGACATTTGATACTTTAAGGAATCACCCGTCCTTTTATGTATTTAATCATCGTGGTCGTGTACTCTTCCGGCCTTCGGATACAACAAATTCTTCAAACCAAGATACGTTACCCTCTAACACATCATTGAAGTTACGAAAACTCGATTCACTGCGCCGTTAAGATTTTTACAAATTGTAATATCAGAACAGGACAGGACAGGACACAGAGCTGAATGTTGGAGTTTGGGGTGTGAAACACTCCCCCATCAGTATTTATATTGACCTTTCAGACCTAATTTAAAAAAAAGAATCTATGCCCCCATTTGTACACTGTTAATGAGATTGTTAATGAAGTATATTTTATCTGTGAAATGAGTCTTTGGTCTTTCGTATAGGGAATTTTTTTCATTTGAAACAAACATGCATCTTTTGTAAAAGTCACTGTTTTGAGCATATGAAAAATGATGGTGGTTTTTGCGATTATTTATTTTCCTAGGTTTGTTTTGCACTACCATACTTAGGAATCTCTCTTTTCTTTTTTTTTTTTGGAGATACTATGTGACTACTGCATTTTGCAGCCTGAATTACAATAAAATGGTCTTCAGTTCTTTTCAAATTCTGAGATGATGACGTCTCTTTTTTTCTTATGGCCCCAAAAAGTGGTTGTTCTTCCACAGATATTTGCCAGTTTTTAATTTACCCATGACTTGTCACCCCACCCTGCTCCCATATGCTTTCTAACATCTGCTGTCTTGTTTGATCACTTCTCTGAGATCATTTGCAGTGAGCAATTTTTGTGTCAGAAACTCTGTCATAGCAAATATATTTAACAAGCTCAGCTTGCTCTAAAGCTACTTGTGTTCTCTGCGGTTAGCTGTAAAAACCTTCCCCGATTATATAGTGTTAAGAATAGTGGAAGATGACTAAAAAGTCATTTGTGATTTCATTATCCTGCCTATGTAGAAGAATAGTAATTAATGAGGAAAAGTGATTAAGCCAGTTTAACTTCTTTAAAGTCTGTGTTAGTGTATTTAATACTAAGATAGTAAATTAGTGAAAATAAAGGAAACTTCTCCTTAACCTTAAGGCAGATGTAAAGGAATTGGCCAAATATGTTCTAAATATTTGGGATTAATATATTCAATTTGTTTAGAAAATTAAGGTCATTTAAGAAATTCTTGTGTAGCTTCTGATTTATAGCAGGCTTTCCATTTTCCATCTTCCCTGCATGGTGCTGAAGGTGAAGATGAGGATACAGAGTTGAATTTTTTCAGAAACAGTAATTTTACTCTTAGAGAAATTTGGCTATCTCTTTGAGCCAAAAATCAAAACAAAACAAAACCTGCAGGAAGCTTGAGTTAATTTTTTTAGAAAACATTGCTTTTGCTAAATTGTGCCAGTATAAAAACATTACTTTTGTTGAATTGTATAGGCGTAAAGGGAATAACTGTGCAGGTTTTAAAAGGAAATATGCTTTGGGCAAGAGTCATATGATGCCCATATACTTGATGACATTTTTTAATTAGAAGTGAATCTCAGCTCTTCTGTCCTGCCTGGTAATGCACAGCCCCAAAGGACAAGATCATTTTGTCATCGGATTTCTATTCTTTTTGTTTACCAGTCCAATCCGTGGAACACTGACTCTGCTCTCTAATGAGAACAAAGTTAGAATATGTTGGTAACGTAAAATAAGTTAGTAATGTGTTAAAAATGTGAAGTCAGGGATTATAGTGATAATAATGAAGTCAAAATACTGTGCGAAAAACCAGCCTCTTTTATCAGGCTCATCTATCGTTTCCTCAGGTACGACTTGATTTGGGAGAGCCTCTTGTTTTCTTCTCTTTTGAGGCTGTCTTCCTTTCCCAATATGTTTTACAGTACTGTTCCTGACATATAATTTACATAGCTTGCAATTCACCTATTTAATGGGTACAGTTAGTGATATTTATATTCACGGGGTTGTGCAACCATGAGCACAGTCAAATTTTTAGGATATTACATTACCCCAAAAGGAGCTCTGAACCCTGTAGCAGTTGCCTCTTATTTTCTTCCAGAACCCACCCCCAGCCCTAGGCAACCACTTCTTTCTTTTTTTATAGTTCTGCCTATTCTGATTATTTAATATAAGTGGATTCATATCTAATATTTGGTGACTGACTACCCAAATAGAGTTTTCTGTATGAAATGAAAAGTTCTCATCTTGAGAACTTATTACGGTGAAAGGAAGTGTTTGGTAAACCAGCAAATTTAAAGAGGGAGGGGCAGATACCTAATAAATAGGTTTCTGAGTTAATCTGATGCTGAATAGCTTTTCCTCATAGCCAAGCAATCATGATATACTACTGCTTATGATATCTTGGATAGTTTCTAGAACAGGTATTGAAATCTCTCTTTTTCTGCCCAGTCAGGAAAATCCTGCTAAAAATGATGCCAAATAATTTGGCAAAAAATTGACATAGCAGTCTTCAGGTATGTGTAACTTTGCTAGCAGCTTGTATACCTCGGGCCAGGTGAGCGCCCCAAATTTCTTCTGACATGTACACCAGTGTATTTCTGTTGTCTGTTTCAAGTATGTACAGTAGAACTGAAGGTGATTTGAGTGCATTGTAACAGTGCTAAATCTATCAAGTATGGAATTTTACTTACAGCACTATGAAATAGTCCATTACTGCCTAGGGTAGTTAAAAAAATATATAGTGATATGAACTAATTAAGCCTGCAGTTGACTCTGATTTCAGTAACAGTTCAGAAGTGTGAAAAGTGCACCAAACAAAGTTCTCCAGAATATAGCAAGACTTTTTAATAATCAGGGAACTAGCTAAATTCTATGGGCTAGTGGCCCAGCAGCAGAAAATGCAGATCAGTGAATCAGAGGCATTTGCTCTGTAACTCCCTACTAATTAATTGTTTCCAAGCATTGTGGCTTATTTTTGAGTGGCATGACAGCTTCTTCCTGGTTATATGTGGCCTGTTTCCCTGATGTATTGAGTAGTGTTGTTTGTTGTGAACATCGGTGCCTGTAACACCAAGCTAAACACATTTCTTTGGATTTGTTTCCTCTCTTCAAATAATCTTTCCCTGTGTAATAAATAAATGATTGTCTCACCCTGTTCTTGGCAGTGTTTTCTTTGTTTTTTGTTTTTACTCTTTATCTCATTTCTTCTGCTTCTGTGCCCAGAAAAATGTAAAAACTAATTTTATGACGATATTTTTTCTAGTGTGTTGTTTTCCTAAATACAATGGATACTTTAACTCTACATGTAAAGTCTTGTAGTTTTGTTTTTATAGCCCAAATAGAGTGTTAATTGCATATTTGTGTTCATTAATCATCAAATGCCCTTTGCACTGAGCTATAATATATCCCCAAACCTCTTAAAATATTTTTAAAGTTTGAGGCAGGTTTGTGCTAAGTTGCCAAGGCTAGGCTTGAGCTTGCAGTCCTCCTGCCTCATCCTCCCAGCATGCTGGGTTTATAGGAGTGCATCATCATGCCCAGCCAAGTGTAAGTCATGGAGCAGCAATGCCTAATCATTCCATCCCAAAGTTTGTTAAATACTCAAAGTGCCTGTTAAATTACACTTAACAAGAAATCATTGTGATTAAGGAATCGGGGGCAAATCTAAAACTTAATGAAAATTCAAGGGGCAGTTCTAGATAATAAAACTTAGCACTTACCTACAGTATTTTGAAAACATGACCAGTACTCAAGTTTACCTAATAATATCTCAAAGTAACCTAATCAAGCATTCTTTAAAAAGAGGGAAAACGTTATGTGCGTGTGGCAAAAATGATCAGATGGTACAGAAAGATGTAAAATTAAAACTGTCCCCATCGCTCCGACCCAAATACTTAACCTCCACAGGTAACCAGCTTCAAGTATTTTGTATTTTCATTTGTCAGAAAATAATGTTTTTTGTTTTTGGTACTGGGGATTGAACCCAGGGCCTTGGCAGTGAGCTGTATCTCTGGCCTTTCATTTTAAAATTTTGAGACAGGGTCTAAGTTGTCCAGACTGGGCTCAAACTTGCAATCCTCCTGCCTCAGCCTCCCAGAGTCTGGTAGTACAGGCATGTGCCACCATACCTGGCATCAAATAATACACTTTAAAATTTTCTTAAAATAATGAAATCAGATTATATACACTTTTCTGTACCTTGCTTTTTTTAAAACTACTTGTTTTATAAGATCATTCTGTATTGCTATATACAGAAATATTCTTTTTAATGACTGATATTCCAATTTATTATAAAGATTTAAATACTGATGGACTTTCAGTTGTTCCCTGTCGCGAGCTGGCAATGCAGAACTGTCCAGCTTTTTTTTTCGGGGTGGAGATGGGGCAGAGAGAAAGGAAGGACGCCAAGACAAGAGTCTGATCAAGGCTGCGTTTATTGCCGGCAAGCATCGGCCTTTTAAAGCCAAAAAAAAAAAAAAAAAACCACAAACTATTATGGGATGGGGTTACCATAGTAACTGAAAGGTCACACAGGAAAAGAGCAAACAGGCTCAACAAAAACAACCCTCAGTGGGTAGTAGTAACCCGGACAACCACACATCTAAAGGTCAGAGACGAGAAACTGTAACTTTCAGGAATTCCACAAAGGAAACACACCACCTGCTAAACTGGAGAAATTTAACACATATGGAGTTACTAAAGTTAACAATACTTACAACCAATACTCATGATCCCCACAGTTCCCAATATTTCTTCCTAAGCCACATTGCAATGAATGTACTTGTATGTTGAATGAGATTATGTCTATAGGGTTAATTCCTACAATGAAATTTCCGGATCAAAAGGTAATTTTCATTTTCAGTTGTATAGCTACTGTGGAATTGTCCTACAGGAAATTTTGCCCTGTGTACTTGCACATCTAATGTGATTATTTACCAGACCCATGCCAATCCTGGTTGCTAAACATTTTAAGTTTGATCACCTGTAAATGAATAAATGGTTTATTTTAATGAAGGTCTAATGCCTTTTAATGGAAATGGAACCTATCTTTTATGTTTATAGGTCACTCATTTTCTATGAACTGTATGATCATGTTTTGTTTTCTAGTAGATGATTTTTAGATTTGTATGAGCTTTTTGAAAACTAAGAAAATTAGTCCATTGTCATTTATGATATTTCCCTCAGTTTTATTTATTTATGTAGTTACATTTATCAGTCTTTAGGGCTTCTAGGATTTTGCCTTGCTGAGAAAGGCTTTACATTTCAGCATAAATTTAGCATATTTTCCAGTACTCTCAAGGTTATTTTTTATATTTGAAAATTTATTTATGTAGTAGGAATGGATTCAGCATTTTTCTTCACCAAATAGGTCTCGAGCTGTCCCAACCCCATTTGTTAATTTTCCACATTAAAAAAGCCATTTTCTCTCCTACATTGAATTTCCAAACATTTAGATCTGTTTTTAGACTGCAGTCGGTTGCTAAAAATGCTACAATTATCTTACGTTGTAACACATTTTCTTATTTGGCATTGCTAGTTCATTATTTCCAGATCGGTTTTCAATATCATTTTGTCCAAATCTCCATTCATATTAGTATTTTTCCTAGAATTTTAGTTTAAAACAACTTCAAACCTACAGAAATGTGAAAAGAATAGCGTGGTAAACATTTCATTTACGTTCATCATTCAGAGTCACCATTCCTACCATTTTGTTAGTGCCTTTTCTTTCTCCAAATGTGCATTGTCCCCTCCTTAATAATTTGAGACAGGTTGCAGACTTATCAAAATGCTTCATGCCAGCGCTAGACATGTCAGCGTGCCTCTCCTCCAGTGTGAAGGCATTCTCCCATTGACCGTGCAATATTCTCACAACTAAAACTGATCCACCTTCCAGTATTGCTTCAGATTCATATTTCTCCGTGTGCGCTCAGCATAGCTTTTATAGCTGCTTCCCCAAGGTTCATAAATTACATCGATCAATGTGTCTCTCTTCAGTGATCCCTCGACCTCTCTTTTAAAATGTCATTTTTCTAAATAAATATTTTTCTTAGAACTGTTTTAGACTTAACAGCAAACTTAGGAAGACAGTACAGAGAGTCCCCATATACTCATACTCAGTTTCCCCTATTATTAGCTTGTTAGCATGAGATGTTTGATATAATCAGTGACCTGATATTAATACTTTATCATTAACTAAAGTCCATACTTTATTCAGATTTCCTTGGGTTTTACCTCATGCCAACTTTGTATTCCAGGAGTTCATTGACAGTGAGTGCTACATTACATTATTGATCATGTCTTGGCTCCTCTCGGCCATCATATTTTCTTAGATTTGCTTTTGGGATTTTAATTTATTTTGGGCCGGGGATTTAGCTCAGTAGTTCCGCCGCCTGCCTTGAAAGGCGCAAGGTCCCAAGTTCCATCCCCAATACCAAAAAGGGGAGAAAATTATTTTATTTTGGTTTTGCCTTGGAGATTGAACCCAAGGCCTTCTCACTCAGCTACATTCCCAGCTCTTTTTCTTTTCTTTTTAATTTTGAGACAGGGTCTCCCTAAGTTACCCAGGCTGGGCTTGAATATAACACCCTCTTGCCTCAGTCCCTCAGAGTGCTGGGTTTACAGGCATGCAGCACCATACCCAGCTTTTTCTCATTTTTTATGATCTCAACAGTTTTGAGGAGTACTGTTTAGGCATTTTGTGGAATGTTCCTCTACTGGATTTGTCTACTGTTTTCCCCGTTATTAGACTAAGATTGTGTGCTTTGGGGAAGAAGAAGGCAAAGGTAAACTGCCATTCTCATTACCTATCAAGGGTACATACACGATCAGATCGAAATATATGGTGAATGTGTAAAGAGAACAAAGTTATTTCAGTACAGGACATGTTGCCATTCATCCCCCTTGAAGTGTCCCCCATAGCTTCAAACATACTTATCCCATCCTTCTGGCCACTTTCTGAAGCAGTTCTGGAAATCCTCTTGTGTGTCTTTACAAGGTATAACAAAGAGGATCAGGGGAAGAGGGAAGAGAAAAGGGTGAGGAGACAAAAGGGAATAAAACTGATCAAGGCGTGATATGTATATGCACCAATTTTCTGTAATGAATGTAATTGTTATGTATTGCAAACATATGCCAATAAAATAATTTTTAAAATAACCTTTAGGGTCAAGCATGGAGGAGAAAAAACAAGTGTTCCACACATTTGGGGGGGAAAATCAAAATACCCTGAAGAAGGTTAAAATAAATGTCAAATATGACAAATGAGGTAAAACAAAGTAGCAATAAACTTTTTATTAAAATCTTGAAGGAGGCCATGAGAAGTGCTAAGTGGTTGCAAAATAACGTTTTTCATAAAAACAAATAAAAAATGGTGTGAAGAAGCAATCCAAATGCATTGTCTGTCACATGGATTGCTAACAGTCCCAGTGCCATATTGGCATAATCTTTCCTCTTGGGATTGGCAATTGCACCACTGAAATGTACCCAGTTTCTACACATGCACGAAATTCTATCTGGGTTCTGCTATTCTATTTCATTGTTCAACATGTGGAGCTTTTTATTACACCATCTTTATTGCTAAAGGTTGATGATAAAAACAGTAAGGCAGTCTTCCTAAATTTTGTTCTTCATGCCTATATTGATTATTCTTGGGAATTTATGTTTCTCTATAAAATATTTTGGTGGTACCGGGGCTTGAATCCATGACCTTTGTGCTCACCTACATTTCTAACCCTTTTTTATTTTTTATGTCAATGCAGGGTCTCACAGCGTTGCTGAGTTTCTCAGGCTGGGCTCAAACTTGCAATCCTCCTGCCTCAGCCGCCCAGCATGCTGGGATCACAGGCATGCACCACCATACAGGCCTTTATATAAATTTCAGAATCATGAGACAAAAAACTCTGTTGGGATATTTATTGCAATTTTGCTACATTTATACGTTTGACTTTGAGGGAAAGGACATTGAGTCTTCCTATCCACAGTATAGCCCTCCATTTGAAGTCTTCTCTGATGTATTTCAGTAAAATTTTGTAATTATCTGATTATTAGTTTTATACATGTTAAATTATATTAATTATACATTCACATAACATACTCAACATATATTCCATACATATTTTATATTCTATATATAAGATATATAAGCCTGTA